TCTCTCTCTCTCTCTCTCTCTCTCTCTCTCTCTCTCTCTCTCTCTCTATTCGACTAATTTGTAACTAGGTATCGCGAACTCGTTTTCTCGTCCAAGAATCATTAATTCATTAACTTTTCCGTTTAGCACTGGACGAACACCTCGATCGTCTCACCTCACCGACAACAACAATTAAATGTCTGCGACAGATTAACAACGGTTAAAATATCAAAGTAACAATAGCCGACTATCGAATAATCTACTATTGTTAAAGCGAGACTTTAAAATCGCTCGATGCGGAATCGCGTAAACGATTCAACAGCTGCTTCAACATGGTAGCCGATAATTCACGTTAACGCGTTAGTTAGTAACTAACCCTATCATAGAAAATGTGTGCGTTCTTCCCTATCGATCTAGTGCAAAGTAAATTTCTTATCCGTTTTCGTTCCTCTAAGGTAGAATTCAGACTTTGACAAAATTCGCCCGAAGTCCGAGGTTAACGATGCAGCTCCCGTTTCTAACTTCGAGCATACGCTTCAGCGTTTACTGGACGACTTTTCGATCAGGTAGCGAATACGTTTACGAGTCTCCAAAATACTACGTGTCCCGAAATCGATCTCCGATCAATCGACAATTTATCCGTCAACCCTTCGTTTCCGAAGCGTCTTTCATTCGTCGATTCGCGCGTTGTCCATTTTCGTTTCTCTTCGGTCAATTTCCGGGGTTAGAAGATCGACTCGACGCCGAAATAAAAATGATAAGCGGAACGCTTCAGCCGTGCGCGCCGAATCGTTTCTTTATTATTTGGTTAACGGTTAACGAACAATTACGGAGCTTACCAATACAACGATACAAAAACGTCTCTCGCGCTAACGCGACGCTTACTAATGGCAGTATTTACGGAACCGATATACTTCGTCCTACGAATGTATAGGTAATATTTACAATCCAACGCGACACAAGGCATCGTACCTTCGATTGCGTCCAAACTACGACTTTTAGCTAGGAATATGCCTGCGGACGTCGAAGAATTAGAGATTCGTCGAGTCGAGCCGAGCCGAGTCGAGTCGAGTTTATACAAGGCCTGATCCACGTCAAAGTATCGATAATTTTACGATTTCGCGAGGTTGCAAATTAACGATCGTCGTCGAACGTTCACTTGCAACGTCGTTCCGTTCGATTTTTGCTAAAGAATCGCAGATTCTCCGACACGATTCTCGGGAATATCGGTGTCCGCTTGCACGAGACGTAACTAACAAACATTAACCGTGGTAATACATTGTTTATACATACATGGCGCATAATTACACAAATAAACGAACGAACCTGGAAAAGAAATCGTGAACAACTCACGGTAACATCAACCACTTACTACAGCATTGAACAACGACGTCAATCAGTTGTTCAATCAGCTACATCTATCAGCTTTAGAATTCGTATGCTTTACTTGTTCTTACAGTACTATTGGTTATTATTATTGTAATGTCTCGCGTCGTTCGATTGTTGTTACAAAATACAATATTTTTATAGAGGCGAAGTACGCGACCGTTACGAAGTTTCTCTCGAGATTAATTTTCGCGGGGTGAAATTAATCTTTATTTATTTCCATCAGCTGGGAAGAAACATGCCTGGTCCGATCTATTTGCAAATTTCATTTGGTCGTACGATAATGCGTGTATGTAATAGTGTAAACTGTAACGCAGTAGGTGAAACGTGTGAAATAAATGACGTTGCGAGAAACGATTATTTTAATCGAATAGAAGGTTTCGATTATGAAAAATGTGTCCATCCCTAATAAAATTTAATTATTAATATTATTATCAGAAAACGACGAATATTGCTTTGACCATTATCTGGGATCAAATACCTAATACGAGCATATTTATTGATGAAAATAATATTCAATTTTTGAGAGCTGACCGTTAAATTAAATTTGAGATTAGGCTATAGGACAGCAATTTTGTTGCGTGGATAATTTGTACACCCATCCCCCGATTTACACAATTTTCGAAACAATCGAATTTACAAAAACTGTTAAAAACAGAAATCGATGCTGTGCACGTATTTGTACAGTTATTCGTTAGTACCGTTCCCTTGTTAACACTAGCATTAAATCTACAAAAGGGAATTTCGTTCCCTCCTTCTTTTTTATTTAAATACAAAAAGCATTCGTATTGATCAGGGCAGTAAGTCTTTAACAGTTGTAAGATATATATCGTTGTGCTTTTTCTAATAAAGAATTTCTAAAATTTCGTATTTAATGGATAACGATAAATAATTACAGTTTTTGTTGGATTATTATAATACAATTTAAATTTTAAAGATGTTACCGTGTCGAAGGAAATTTAAAAACAAAAATAATAGAAATAAGAGGCACCTTTGAAAAGTAAAAATAATATTATAAAATGTAATTTTACATATTTATTATTTCACGAATGGGCTGATATTTTCATGCCTTTCATTTGTACTTTACTCTCATTTTAAATACTGCTTTTCATAGAAAAAACCATGAATTCTATGTAAATCGGGGGTAGGTTATATACGTGTATCTCTTGATAGCATCATGTGTGCATTCCAAAAATATTTAGACGAGTGTTAAAGTGTTAATAATAAAAGATATTCCCAATAATCACCACAAATGGGACTGTTTTTGAGTAATAAAAAGACTAGAACTTTTTGTATGATTACGATCTCAGCTGAAAAGATCATTATTACAGAGAGTAGGGGGAGACTGGGGTCAATTTGAACATTTTTGTTAAAATAGCTTATCGTGGCTTCGTTCTATGTCCTATCTGTTTGGTAATGGAATTCAATTATACTCGCCCGATCACGTGGTTTCAAAAGAGAACCATTATTCATTTGTTTTCATAAATACTATCAAAACGTTTGGTGCAAAATCATTAGTTTTATTTAATAATATTTAACATCGACAGTAATTAATATTATTAAATGAATTTGTCTATATTTAATCGATATTAATCAACTGAACAAAGAATCGAGCTATTAAATATCCAAAATACACACTAAAAAAAGTCAGACTCGTTAAAATCATTAAAAATGAAAGAAAATTGAAAAAAAATCACTTGAAAATGCCTCTAGAAACAATCAAATGAAAAGGATTTCAATCAACAATACAGTTGATTCAACAGATACAACCCAGTCGTTACAGATGTTTAATTTCACAGAAACAAAATTGAATATCGTAGGTAGGTATTTAACATTCTAAAATCAACTAGGATAAAATCAACTAGGATTCATAATTATGATAATGTAAATTGGACAGAAAGAGGAATGACAGTTCTGAATTGATAAATAAAATAAGAATAGTTAGAAAACTTACCTTTCGTGTTGGAAAAGTAATACAAAAAAATAGAAACGTTGATACGATAGGTTTAGACACGAAAACTGGTCCTTTTTCTCTTCGACGCTCTGTTTATGTCGTAAACTATCTTTAAAATATTTATTTTACTTTTATTGCCCCATGTTTCAATTAACCCCAGTCTCTCCTAATATAAGAAATCAGTTAACGAACGTGGGAACGATAAAAGAATAGAAACCGTAATCTCGAGCGACATTTCGATGCGCGTACGCTTGAACCGTTATCCTTTCTCTCCACCGCACCGATTTCCTTAAACATACGTTCGTACAAACGGGTACGTTACTAAATGTTTAAAACTAATCGATTATATAGTAAGTTACACGCTATATTCGTGTCGTACAACGAACTATCTACTGTCGTGATGCCTAGAATAATTTCTCTCAACGTTTCGAGTAAACGGGATATATAAAACGCGCGATCGTACGACAGGTTTATTCGAGAAAGTTTCATCACCCTTGGGCTAGAGTTGAACAATCGAATTTTACGGCGATCAACCGTAAACCGTTTAACTTAACCTTTCCGTCTCTTCGATCCCTTCAAGAGTCACGGAAACACGACGAAAGTCGGCAAGGGTTTAACTAAATTATCGTTACAATACATTTAATTAACTTGTTCTTTTAAGTTAACCCGATTAAGTAGTGGCAGCTTCATATTACGATTTACTTGAGCAGACTATATAGGTATAAGTTTCTTCATAATTCACGCGACACGTCGATCGCTTCTTCTCCGCGCGACGATAACACTCGAACGATCAACATTTCGTCGCGCGTTCTCTTAAGTCGATGGCATCGAAACGAAGAAAGATTCCAAGGCGTGCGATTCCTTCGTATTGCATAGTCGATTCTTCTTTGTTTTCTGGATAGAATCGAGGTTACAGGATTACAGTTTGAACGCTTCACGTTCAGAGAAATCCCACTTCTGACACAAGTATGCTTAATCGTTAACGTTTCAATCGTATTTTAGGAACGAAACATTTCACATTTTCTCGTAAATTTGAAATGAAACCGAAATAATAGTTTTTATAATTTCTATCTCCTTGGATGGACCCAAAGTTATAAGATTACCGACATGTTTCGAACGTTTCTCGTTCGGAGAAATCTCACCCCTGGCCCGAGTCAGCTTACTCGTTATCATTTCAATTGCGTTTCAGGAACAAAACATTTCACATTTTCTCGTAAACTTGAAACTTGAAACCGAAGTAGTAGTTTTTATAATTTGTATTTCCTTGGATCTTCTTCGTTCGTTTCTCTCCTCTATTTTTTTTTCTTCCGAAGCACGAAGCACGGTGTACGTCGTATACTTTACAATCGTTTTAGAAAATGGAGCCCTTTTACCGTAATTTCGTTACCGAACGTTGATGGAAGTTGGAAGTTCCTGAGACTAGAATGGGATTCCGGGTTGGTACCAAGTTACTTCCGGGCGTTGGTCCTTAGTCTTTATCTACGGTACAGAGCTCAGGCATAGACTATTGCGGCGGGCAGTTTACTACCGTTGTGGTTGCAAAATCGCTGAATTTTTTATCAATCGGAACCCGGTCATCGTAGAGGGTCGGTGCTTGTAAGATAATTCCAGCCGTGCCAACCAGGACCGCCAAAGTGAAAATCCAAAGGAACAGTCTGTCTAGGACCATCGCCACGTACTTCCAGTCCTCTTTCACCTTTTCACAAATTATTAACGTCAGATTGCTAAATACAGAATGCAGGAACTCTAACGTTAATTTTAAGATTGAAATTGGAATATTGATTTGCAACTCGAAGACTTAAGGTGTGATATTGATTCATTACTTCTAGGTAAGAATTGTTGAATTACGTTTATATAAGTATGTCTTTCAGCTTTTCACAAATTATTAATGTCAGATTGCTAAATACAGAATGCAGGAACTCTAACGTTAATTTTAAGATTGAAATGGGAATATTAATTTTTAATTGGCACACTTGAGGTGTGATCTTAATTAACTACATCCTGCTAAAGATGATCGAATTACGTTTACAGAAGTACATTTATAGACCTTTCATATTAATGTTCGTATCACAAAAATTTCATCTCCTTGGGATTTCTTATATGCGTTCTACATAATATATTATATGTAGGAATTAATTCTATGCCTTTCTATAATAACCTTACCATTTATTTAAAAAGAAAAATTATAGCACTTACGACCTTTCTTCAGTTATACGAGAGAGCAGTATAATATAGTTGTAAAACCAAACGACGCTGCAACCTGTGTTTTTTTTCATGACAGTTGGTACATTAATGTAACAAAGTGGTGGACAAATATTTCTGTTTGTACTAGAGTTACAAATAATTAAATATGAAAGTAGAGAATTAATTTCTACACCTAATATTTGGAATATCTTTATATTATTCGCAAAACCAACATTTCTCAACTTTTTAGATAAATTTTATATTTAAAGAAACATAACTCGAATTCAGAACATAATCGATAAATAATTTAAATACTATTATTACTATTACTATTAAATTACCCTTTTAAGATTTGTTTTATACCGATAAGATGTTCTCAGCCGAATGTTCAGAACCCAAAAAACTTGCAAAATATGTATGCACTCATACCGACGAAGAAACGATTTTCGAGAGTTTAGAAACTAATAATAAGCGATAAAGTCACAGTATTTTTGAATGATAATAACTGTAGACACTAATAATTATAGACGTGTCCCGCGAAAAAACAATTGAAACTTATAATGCGACGAAGGCTTATTATTTCAATTCTCCTTTATTCTTAAAGATACTAAAAAGATTACCTTGGTCGAATCCTCGAGCATTTTGGTGTGTTCCGCGATGAAACGCACACAAATGCAAGATTTGTGAATTTCAGGAGGGCAACGCGAATGCGAAAATGGTGGAGGACTTCGTAGAACTGGACTTTTCACTTCTTCGATACCTGCTTCCCCGGAAACGGAGAGATTATCGCACTCGGATTGAAGAGGAAGCGGCGGTAACGTTGGTCCGTGAATTAAACAACTCCCACCGAATCTTGCACCATCCGTTAGGCTGAATTGGGAACAAAACATTCCAATTCTAGGTAAAAAGTTCCCTTACTGTATGATATTCGATGCCTCAGCGAAACCAGAAATTATAATACATGTTTCGTTATCTCGTGGTAGGAAATCTCATTTCACTAAAATATTGTGTTTAATAAAATTTCGTTAGCAACGAAACGTACGAGTTGATCGAATTTATCATTATATTTTATATGCATATATTTATGCATAACGAAATCAAACCTCGTTTACGATGAATTTGCCCATTTGTTTGACGATAGAAAATTCATTTATTAGTCTAGCGTTTCTACCGAATGAAACATAGTTTTTACATTCGCTTAATATATCAGCATTCGAATTTATTAGTCTTTTTTTACGATTCTATTACGGCAAAATAATTTATTCCCAGTTTTATACTTTTGATATGGATTTTAATTTGTATTATAGCGATGTTTAGATCATAATAAAACACGCTGACTTTAAAAATCTGATTGTTATTAACTTATGTATGCAATGAATGCGACCATTTGTTTGATAATAGAAAATTCATTTGTTGGTCCAACATTTATACTAAATAAAACAGTTTTTGTTTTTTACATTCGTTTTATATCAGCAGACAAACTTATTAATTTTTGTTTACGATTCTAGTATCGCAAAATAATTTATTCCCAGTTTCATACTTTTGCTACGGGTTTTAAATTGTATTATAGCGATGTTTAGATCATAATAAAATACGCTGACTTCAAAAATCTAATTTTCATTAACTTATGTAAATTTATATTCGGTATAGCTCTTATATTTTGTATTAACTAGAGACCGTGGTCTTTAATATTATTAGTATTACTTTACAGTTCTGCCTTGTCATTTGCCTTTAAATTGGGAATCTATTCCGAACTGCTTGCCAAATTAATTTACGTTATTAGAATCGCTAATTCGCTAGGCCTCTAATCTTTCCCTATTTCTTCCACCCTAAATTTTAATAATATACTTCATCCTCTATGATTCGAATTTAACCTGTATGCACGTTTACTAACGTAACGGTGGTATACATGCAAATTTGTAATGCAAATTTCGTAAAATTTCCGAAGTTTATAGTTAATCGTCGATACCTGGAAGGTGAGAGGTCTTCTTTCGAAGGAACACGACTATGAAATCGCTTAGGTGTTAGATGCTCTTCGCTGTCCTCTTGAGTGGATGAACGATAGGGATAATAGCAAGCCTTCTCTTTTCCCCTGACAGTTCTCATTAACACTCTGCTAGAAGTATATCTATGAATAAGAGCAAATGTATACGGTGTACGATATCATTGAAAGACTCGGATATTATTTACAACTATTGATTAACCCTTTGCGATCCTATGTCGAATGAGGCTCGACAAAAGTGTACTGAAATCAGAGAATTCCAAGTGCAAAGGGTTAAGTGATTACTTCAGGTAGTCACTTAACGTTATAACCGTTATTTAAATAGTACAAGTATATTGTTTTCTATACGCGCAAAGGACATTTTCAACATTTTATTATAACATTTTCAGATGTGTGCTACTTTACGCAATATTTCTAAGAAATCGTGACATTCTTACCTATTCGTATCAAATTTATATTGAGGCCTTCGCATGACCAGCAAGCGAGGAAGAATGTGGATAAAAACTCTTTTTACCCAAGGAGCCATTTTGTGTGTTTGCGGTGACCGGAAGTGGACGTTCAGGACAACCACGGTTACGCATATACTGTAACATACAACGAAATTAAAACTGGTTTAGTACGATTCTTGAAATTTAATAAATCGTTATTTAATTTCGCATACGGAGAATAAAATTTCGGGCATCGTACATTGTATTTGCAATCTAAATTCGAAATATGTTCATCATATCCGGGGTAATTGTTATTCGTTTCATTACCCTTGTTTCGTTTCGGGCGTTCTAATTAGAGAAATGCAAGCACCCAGTAACAAATACATTGTTCCATGCATTGTTTATTTTTTGAAACGGAAATAAGCTATAGCTATACGCATATAGCTGTAGCCTATTTCTAAAATTAAGATACAACAAATAGATGTGAAAAACAATTGAATCCACCATTAAATGTTTCATTATTCTAAGAGATATTTTATATTTACGAAATATGCTTACTCGAAGAATATTACATACATATATATATAAAACCAATTTTTATATTTGATCTTTATAGAATAAAGTACAATCAAATGTACTTCAAATGTACAATCAAATGCAGCACATAACACATAAAATAATATAAGTAAGCATAAATATAAAATATTCTTTAGGCGTCCATACTTTATATATACAAAATATTTTTTAAATAAATATAATTTTTAAATATAAAATAGTTCTTGGTATTCCTTAAATTAATCGTCCTTTTATATATAGAGGGTGAGGAATTTTAAACAGGTCACCTAAATAACTCGCTTGTTTTTGAAGATAGGAAAAAATGCATTAGATCAAACTTGGAGGTGGATAAAATTGATAATATATATGAATTGATATTTTTCTGTAGGTGGAGATATATATACATATATATATCAATTTTTCTGTAGGTAGATATATATATATATCTCCACCTACAGAAAAATTGATAATACCAGATTATGAGCCCACCGATACCAAGTAAGTTTGATCTAATGCATTTATATATATACCTCTCTCTCTCTCTCTCTCTCTCTCTCTCTCTCTATATATATATATATATATAGTTATTTAGGTGACCTGTTTAAAATGCCCCACCCTGTATATACAAAAGGACAATTATTTTAAGGAATACCAAGAACTATTTTATATTTAGAAATTATATTTATTTAAAAAATATTTTATATATATAAAGCATGGACAGCTGAAGTTTATTTTATATTTATGCTTACTTATATTATTTTCTATGTTTGCTCAAAGTACATTTGATTGTACTTTATCCCATAAAGATCGAACATAAAAAGTGGTTTTATTTCGTTAACTAAACTAACTACTAACAATCAGTCACATCCTGCTTATTTGTTGGAACTAACGATCCCAATTAAATTAGACCATTCTGGTGATATTAGGAAAATGGTATGCTCGTAAAGTAAGATTCATACTTTACAGACACCGTAAGACCTTCTGTTTTTATGATTTTCAATCATCGGAAAGAGGAAGGAAATCTCCATGGACGACCAAGGCAAATTGCTATAACATATAACCGGGAGTGGCTGCGGTGGAACGACAGAATGTAAATCTCACGAGGCCATTTATAATGGAGATCTATTCTGCGATGGCTGGTCTTAGCAGCTGGTACTGAGGGACAGACTACGATTTAAATTGGAGCTGGTTCCTTTGACTCGACTTGGAACCATTTATCGGCTCGGAACTTGTCTTTCTACCGACGCCTTCTTCCTCTCCTTTTATGTTTGTCCTTTGTCTGCCCGCAGGAAATCGTATTAATTGATTCGAGATGAATTAAATATATAATTTCGTGTAACCTAGATAACTCAGATAGCAAGTTTTATTACTGCAAATTAGATATTCTATCAAATCAAAATGAAACGAAATTCTGTTTTTGATAAATTCTTACTACTTGAAAAGACAATAACGCATGACCTTCCGTACCAAGCATGACGAAATAAAACCTAAGCGAATTATTTACAATAGGTTCACCATATTTTTTGTCATATTTCATCTGCATTTATGAAACATTTGGATCGATTTTTATAAGGTAAATCGTTTTGAAAGTAGACGTTCGTAAAAACGACGTTTAAACTTTTTGGTTTCCAATACATTTCAATATTTATCTACGTAATACAATATTTGTTTACGTAATACACCGTTAATGCGTATTTGATACGAAAAGAAGAAGCTTTCCCGACATCTCAGCGAAGGAGGCAATTTCCATTCCACCAAATGAAATTAAAAAACTCATCCCGTACCAAAATATCTTAAACACATCACATCAAACAATAGCAAGAGATGAATGGAAGAAACTATGGACCACCACCCAAAGAACCAAAATCCACGAGATTGCACAAGATTTTTATCAACCAATACCCACTTACAACTTGAACAGAAAATAAAGAGTAATCATGACTAGACTCAGAGTAGGCCACTCTAAAATAACACGTGAATACTTAATAAAGAAAACAGACACTCTACAATGCGATCTCTGCAAAATCAAAACAATAATCAAGCACTTACTATTCGAATGCCGAAAGACGAAAATATCAATTAAAACCAGACTCGGCCCTAATTTCTCAAGATCACGTACAAAACACCATCAAATATTTGAGACACACCAACCTATTTCACAAAATATAAAATATCCTCGTCGCTAATGACCATGCAGTTGATGCGACGTACAGCCTCTATTTAAAAAAAAAGGAAAAGAAAAAGCTTTCCATTCGTGGCTCACGTGGACAAAAGTATCTCCACATACTAAGTTTCTCTATAAAATCCTCTAAAAATCTATAAAAGATCCTGTATAAGTCTTTAGTAAAATGTATCCATTGAGTTTAAAGTTTAAGCACAGTGACTCGCATTAATATTAGGACACTACAATACTTTATTCATTATCGCAATAAACACCTGATCATAATGCAGTTGATATATTTTTTGTTGTGTAATACGTTAGGATGTACATACATTCTGTTTAACAGAAATGTAAATTTCATTTACTTAACACATCGAATTCGTAACATAACAAACAATTTACTAGATAATGTATTATACTTCATGCCTCGTTCTTCGAAGATCTAATGTAGTAGTACTCGTTCCTATGGTATTTCACTTAAAACATCATATCGCGGAATGGGAGAAAGTAATGAACGATCGAGTACATCTTCGATATTGTTAGAGACTATAAAATAAAATTCGCGAATCTCTCGATTCAATTGAATGCTCGGGGCCGTTAAACTCACACAAAGGAGGAAAACCGTGATCTCTGAGACGCCATTGATGTCCTTATTAACCCTTTGCACTCAAGAGGTGACTCTCAGTCACCATTAGGTTTCACGCAGCAAATATACAATACCTAATAGTTTAGAATTCATGGCAATAGAATGCTAAGAAACATCTCGAGTTGCTGGTAGATACCAGAATAAAAGGTCTCGAGTGCAAAGGGTTCATATTGTCTGGGGCACGATACAACTCATTCATGTCTGACCATTTCTCGCCAATTCTACTTACGGAGTTTGTTAACCCTTTGCACTCGAGAGGCGACTCTCAGTTACCATTAGGTTTCACGGAGGAATTCTACAGTACCTAATGTTTCTTTAGGTTAAATTTCTTCGGAGCTCGGCGTATTAATAAAATGATTGTCGGTGAAGTAAAGGTGACCTTATTCTAAAATCTCGATAGCTTAGAACTCATAGCATTAGAATGCTAAGAAACATCTCGAATTGCTGGAAGATACCAGAAAAAAATTCCTCGAGTGCAAAGGGTTAACAAAGGCGCCGTCGTCGAATCCGACTCGTGCGACGGAGAGTTTTGTATCTCCGTATTTTCTTACACCTAAACTTAACGGCTCAAAGAGGTTTATAATTAACCTGAAAAAATTAAACGAGTATATTCCTATTGTTCATTTTTAAATGGAGGATCGGAAGACTGCCGCAAACTTGTTAGCAAGAAACGATTTCATAGTCTCTCTGGACATTACTGATGCTTACTTTGTGGTAAACGTAGACAACTCATGTAGGAAATATCTTCGGTTTACATTTATTGTTATAATGTGGGATCAAATTACCCGCCAGCCGCAGATATGGTGCGCGTAATTAGGTGTGCATGGGTGTGTGTTTGAAGAGCGCGAATCAGGAAGCATGATAGATGGAATGTTTGTAAACGAGTGTATGATTGGCAAGAATGGAGACAGAGCGAGGAAGAATGAGTGCGGGAGAGACAGAGAATGCAAGAGACCGTGAGCGAACGTGAGGATGAATGTTAGAATGTAAGGAGAAGCGAGTGTGAATAGTTGAATAAAGAACGTTTTGTAAAAACGTAAAAGGTTTGATATTAGTCCCCGGAATTCCTACAATAATAATAGGATAAGGAACGACTCAAACCGTATTTGCACGTTGCAATTTAGCAAAAGATACATTGACAAGCACAGACACGTTTCGTCAACAGCACAGGTTACATAGTAACAGACTGTAAGTAAGAAGACTGTACGTACAATAATCCTTTGCGAGTCATAATAAGCGCGAAATATAAATTGCTTATCTCAACAACATTACATTTAATTTTACATTCAATAAATTTCCATGATTCTTAATTAATAACTCTTCATCTTGGTCGACGGTTAAGATTGTTCACAAACATGACGTTCAATAAGCTGTAAGCACACTTCGTACAATTTCTGTTCGATAGTCGACGCGATCGTTCACAATTCTAATATGGAACGGAAAAGCAAAAGTATATCGTGTATACCACGAAGGTTAAATAGGTATTCAATAAAGAAAAATAATGATAAGAACATAAAAGCCTGCTTTCAGTCTGCTTTCAGACGAGATCATTGACGCAGTCACGATTCAATTATATTAATTATTACAATAGTGAAATTAATATTTGGTACATAATGCCTTCCCTTTTATAAAATTTTCAATAGTGATATTTTGAAAGGCAGAGCTTTTGTTCTATCGAAACCTCTCCTACACGGAGAAGTCCCGGTATGTTAAATGTTTATTGGCTCGATGAGGAAAAAGCCGTGCGACATAAAAAAAAACCCAGAATGATATAAATATTTCACAAGAAATGTT